AATGTGGAAAGGACAAAAGCTAAAGCGGTGATATTTCACCTCACACTACCTACCTACCACTACTCCTAATTGTAGGCATAGCTTAAAAAAAAAACCCAAAAAAAACAAAAGCGGTGATATTTTGTTTCATGTTCTAATGTGGAATATTCGTTCTCATTGTGCACATTTGGTGAGTGGCGCGGCGACGCGCTCACAGTACGCGGTCAAAGCTCAGATTTCTCCTTGACCGTGTGAGTCGCCATACTTGCGGGTCGTCTTTTTTTTTTTCCATCCACGTGGCCGGCCTTGTACGTAAGAGGTGATGAACAGGCGGAGCTTTCCAACCTTCTTTCCTTTTTCTGTTTTGATTTTTTTTGCCTTTGTGCTCCGATACGCTGTTTGACGACATATAGCATGGATTGAGACCAGTCTTCTCGGGAAGAGCGAGGTTGCCGTGTTCCGTCTGCTCGTGGATGTAGAGAATTGTGGCCTCTGTGTTTGGTGTTTGTCCCCCGGCCTTGGTTGCCTTGTATTAACATGGCTTGCGACTGGTCGTCTCGGGAAAAAGAGCTGCCCTGCAATAGAGATCGGCGACCTAGGCGCACTCAATAATTCCTTGCTTGTCGTCTTCCGCCTGTTCGCGGTTATAAAGAATTCACCTCCGTGATTGCCGCGGGTGATCTTCGGATCTGACGCCCTGATCTCCCCTGGCGATTGATTCTAGGCATCCACAGTCGTCAATGTGCGGGACGATACGAGCAATCTAGAACACACGTGTATGTGAATAGGATCCTCGACCGCTGTAGGCTGTGCCTTTCAAGGCGGTGTCGAAAGGAACAGCTCAATGGTGTCAAGAATGCTTGCGCAATCGTGTAGATACAAGAATAGCTAATACTATTAGCCGGTAGTTTTTAGTACTGGGGAGTGCTTTGGAGCAGTGCGCAACCAGCGAAAATTCTGCTTAGAATCGCTGATCAAACTGTAGAAGATTGGGAATAGCCAGAACCAGTGAGTGAAAAAGGCATCTCCACGCAACCACCGTCTGTCTGATTTTGTCTCGTAAACATACGGACGAGAGCGGATAACGATCCCCTCTGAGAGCGCTTCGAAAGCGATGTAGTTGGAACAAGGACTGGCGGACGGTGAAAAAGAGTTGGTTTTTGTTTTTCTTTTCTTAACTTTGTCATGCTTTCTTTTCTTTACTTTGTCATGCTTTCTTTTCTTTACTTTGTCATCCTTTCTTTTCTTTACTTTGTCATCCTTGCTAAGCAGGGTCCATGCTAATGTTCTCTCTGTATCGTTCCAAATTTAGCGAATGTATACAAGGACGAAAAAAAGACCTGGTTTGGGTGAAGACGGTAGTCTTGGATTGATCACCAACACCCTCATTGCGAATGGATACAAGGTTGCTTTACGTCTTCCTCTGAACACAATGCACCTCCATCTTTTCGACTGTATCGGACGGGAAAGCAAACTTGTATCCATTCGTAATGAGGGTGTGTTGCTTTCGTAATGACTGCCAATCGTCAGTGGTCTGAGCTGTAAAGCTGATTACCCGATTGGCTCAATAGAAGATAGAGCTTTGCCCTCACGACCACCTACTCTCTCTCATTTCCCTCACGATCATCTACTGTCTCGCGTTTGCCCTCAAGACCATCTCCCCCTGGCCGCCTTCTACATCAGCGGAACATGCTCCCTGTTCTTTTTTTTTTTTCCGTACTTTTCTTTCTTTTCTTGGTAAGGGCGACACCCTTGATATCGTCTTCAAACTGACCGGGCTCATTTCAGAGTTATTCGACTCACCTGAGCCGGTTGGGACTCTGAACTGAGGTCTGTATTTCAACAGTGCATGGGTGTTCGAGCTGAGCTAGGCCCGTTCGTTGCGGTTCCGGTTGGGACTCTGAACTGAGGTCTGTATTTCAACAATACATGGGCGTTCCAGCTGAGCTAGGCCCATTTGTCACGGTCCCAGTTATACTAGGGAGGTCTTCGGTTCTTGCACGCTTGCCCCCCGGGGATGGGGGCCATCTTCAGTTACCTGTCTCCCTTCCTCCGTTGAAGGCTTCGGTGTTACCCCTTCGCCTAACCCTCCCTCTCCCCCTCCAACTCTGTGTCTCCGCCTTCCCTTGCCCTCCCTGGCGAATCTGACCTACCCCCTCCCCTCCCTGTTGCCGCTGCCTCCTCTCCTCTCCTTGCAACCTTTGTCTCTGCCCGTCCTATGGTCTCCTTGCAACCCTCTCTCTCCTGCTGCTCCTCAGATTCCCAAGTGGTAGTGCAGGAGATTGGTTCCCGTCCCAGTACTATGGTTGAGTCATAAACTTGTGGCTGCACAGCCGGTGGGAGGGAGTAGGCAGAGGGATGGGATGGGGCAATGGCAGCCATGCCGGTGGGTAGTTCATGCTTCACGCTCTGATTCACACTTATGTACGATGGAAGCTCTTGAGCTTCTGTACGCGCTGGAAGCTGTTGAGCATGGCGGTGCGTCGCAGGTTCCAAAACATAGCAGACCTGACCTCTGCACTGATCTGACTGACGTTTCTGTACACAAGAAGCTCTGGCGTAAGGCTGTTATGGTTAAGGTTTTCGTTTATCTTGACGGTTTCCTTGCAGGTATGATCGTGCCCACAATAACTTCCCGCCCTTTTCTATTGTGGACAGTGTGACCTCTTCATCACAAGGCCCTGCGTGTACTTGCTGTGACCTCCCCTTCCGTTAGGTCACATGAAATGTGATTCTTGGGTGTGAAAGCCATCATAGGACCGCTTTGCTTAGATGACCTCGAGTCATTGTGCATAGAGGACTCTCTCGCTTTTTCTAACTGAAATCATATCTCCTGCACCTGGACATCTTGCCTGCTCAATTGCCCCAAGAATGATGTACGTTAAAATGTACACGCCTATCATCTCCACGCTGGCTTATCCTTGCCTCCCCATGGCATGCTATTCCTATCAGGCCTGCTTTCAGGGCATGGTTCATGCAAGTTGCTGCAGTGGCTGTTGCACTGAAAGCTCTGTTCCAGCCACATTGCAGTGCCACGTGGAAGATGAGATCCACACGTGTTTGTGTTTGTTTGGCTTTGCAATGTTAGCGCTTACGACATGGAAGGTAGGTTCAACCTGAATGCAAATGACTTGTGCCATCACATGGCTCCATGTAGTGTTGTACTATGTGGTACCACACAATACGATGCAGGCTGAGTGTGTTGCTTTGTGGGCAAGCGGCACCATGTGGGGTGGGCCATTCCATGTGAGACGAAATGGTACCAACACATGCCGTGTGGAAAAAAGAATGAAAAAGACTCGCCAACATCAGCTACAATTCGGTCCACGCTGCCCCCGAAAAATAAAAACAAATAAAACATGCCAAACATTAGGTACAATGCGGCCCTCGCTGCAGCCATATCCGGGCTGAGCGGCATTCTGTGACCAAGCGGGTTTGGTGGTATAATGTGCAGTGGATCGTACTATGTCGATCTGGTGGTAGCCTGCGGCCCAGGTGATACCATGCGGGTTGTGTGATACAGCATGATGTAAGTCATAGCATGTGGACTGGATGGCGGTATGTGAGCTGGCCAATGCAGAGTGGGGAAGGTGGGCGAAGGAGAACTTGGCCCCAGCTGAAAGAGCTGTAATGTACTTTATGGCTTGGAAGCCCTAGGGATACCGTGCAAGGGCATACTCGCACTAGGACTTTGCTGGATGTATATGACCGCTGTTCCGAGCTTGCTAGGATGCACCTGACTGCAATTTCGTCCTTGGAGAAGTGGAAACAGTCGTAGTGTCAGTTTGCCCTAACAGAATCAAATCATTCTGATTTACTTGCGCCCCTTACTTTGAAAAAATAAAAAGAAGATACACTCGTCAACTGTCAAATAAGTAGGCCTCAGGTCGAGTCCTGCCAATGAATGACTCGTGTCAAATTCTTTCCCTTTGAGGTGAGTTCCCAGATAACAAAGTTGAAATGTTGCAGAGTCTTAAAAGGGAAAGAATGGAAAGGTAAAAGAACAAACACCAAAACAGCCCAAAGCAAAAAAAACAGGCTGCGGCCTTGAACCAGTGCGGCCTGCAAGCTACCAGAAACAACAAAAATGGTCTCGCGACCCTGGAAAAAAAGAAAAACTCGCGCCAGGACACCTCGATCTTGCGACAATAGGGCCCAAAAAAAGTGAAACTCAACACACAACTCTGTGATGGATCTCTTGTCCTGTGCAACGACTGCAGGGGACCTATTTTGGCAGTGCCTGTGGGAAGCGTTCCTGGGGGGCCGCTTTAAGCTCTAAGCATCATATAGAGAGGTAGATATAGGAGCAAAGGAAATAAACACAAAGAGGGTGACACGACTGCACACTCTTTGTTCGCTTCGGGTATTCAGTCTTAGTCAATGGTCCCGCGACAATGGAGAGCGAGAAGGTCTGCTATGCGGGCTTGCAGAGTGTTGCGTAATAAGGTTAGGGCATAGAAGGGAAGCAAAAAAGGAAAAGTACGTCGGGGGTCGGTTGACGCGATAAACTGACGGTGAATTTGCTCGTATGCCTGGCTTAGCAAATTCGTGCATAAGTATTACCTGAACGGCAACATGTCATGGTGCACGTCATGTATGATGCCATTTGCGGGTCCAGTGCGTTCTGAGAGGTGTACCACTGCAAATAAACGACCCCTGAGGATGAATGATGTGGTTCTAAACTGAATCTCCTTTACTCTTGTTCTTGCTGGTAGTCTTCTTGCACGTGTATGGTTACTGGTGTGATAGGTGGTGTATAATGCTGGAGTTTTTTACCTTGCTCATTGAGTCTGAATGCTGGAGCAAGTCTTTGCATCTCTTGAAGGTATGATAATGTGGAAGCTGGTGGCGAGTGCGTCGTTAAAAGGGCCTGGTTTGTCTGTTTTGTTCACGGAGTTGCCGACTGACTTCTTAAGCTAGTTCGGAATTGCCGTAATATTTGTTTTGCATTTCAATCATCAGCTCTTTAAGGCAAGGGCTAACACATGTTGCTTGTTTGTTTTTAAACTTTGTGGTTGCAGAAAATCGACCTGGGCCCTTGTGGCAAAGTGCATTCGCTTCATCTCAGGCTTGAGTATCCTCTTCAAACAGGGGGGTGCATTTGCTCCGTACTAGCGTATTGACTTTTTTTTTTGTCAGTTTGCACTTCCTTTCAGCTTATTTTGTTGGAAGTTTGGTCGTGTTGATGTAAGTGCTGCAAGTACATGCCTTTCTTTGCCCCGTCTCAGGCCCGCTTGTGGCTACGGGTTTGTTTTTTTGCTTAACCTCCTCTGGTATGTATGTTTTGATCTGCAGTTGCACAAGGGCCCGTGGACCTTGTTGTGTGTGGATTGCCCACCTCCTGCCGTTACATTTTTCTGCGAACTGATGCCAATGCCAAATCTCACCCAAAAGGAACCCCTTCTGGCTGATCCTCCTCAACTGGTCCTGTCCCGATCAAATTATCCCACTCTGAATTTGGCAGCTCGAGAGCCCGCATGTAAGCCAAGCATGGGACACATAGTTAGGATGTAGATGTCTTGCTATCCCATTAACACTCCATGTCCTTCCGCAGTCCCTTAATGGTTTTAGTGCATGGGTCAACCTATAGCACATGCTGCATGCTGACATCATTTACTAAGGTGGGATTTCAAATTCATGGACTTCATATTAACATCGAAGCTGAGATCAACAGAGCTATGAGCTAGTCTGAGCATACTCACACAACAGTATGTTGGAACCAAACCATTTTTGTCCGCTTTTTCATTTTGGCATTAATAGAGGGAAGTTGTTGGCACATCTGGTTGCTGCTAGGATGGCTGATCCCGCTGTGTCCTTTTCAAGCGGAGTTATCATTTGGCTCCCAGTCTTTGCAAGTCTGGTTTTGAATCAACCATCAGGCTATTTATTTTACTCCCACTAGTTTTTGAAAGGGGGTCCTGATTTCGACTCTGGTGTCAGAATCGAGGTAGCTGGTCGGCTGTTACATCTAGCTACCAGCAAGTTATAAAAGAAAAGGATCAGGCTCTTTGGTCTGTGCTGATACTTAAAACAGGAAGTTTCTCTCTCTCTGTCACTCCCACCTCCCTCCCTCGTGCGCGTGCTCTTGCAGGTGTCATTCTTTTGCTAGCGAGTTGTCTTTTAAGGCAAAGATAACATCGTAAAAACAAAGAGGCACGGATTCAGGTGAATGTGTACGATTGCATTTTTGCTGGACTACAGAGGAGTCCGTACCCTGTTATTTTAGAGTGTCTTCTCAGGTGACTTGCTGTTAAACCACCAGTACTTGCATGCTTTTGCATTTGTTTTTTTTTTTACTCGTAGATTGTTTTGCGGATATGAACCTTGACCATGATACAACAGATACGAGGATGCAAAGAAGCGGTTGAGGGACAATTATGACAGGGAATTGGAGGAGTGCTTGGAGAAGCATATCATAGATTGCGACAAGAAGATTCAAAGGGCGCTGAAAAGACTTGAGGACACTGATGAAGGGGCAGCGTCAGCAGTGCCTGTCTCACAAGCTACCAAGGCAAGCTATAAAATTTTCATTGACCCATTTGCCATATCTTTATATAAGCGATTACACTTTAGGATCTTTGTCAGGCAATGTGCCCTCGAAAATGCAAATGATAAAATCAATGTTACCATGTGCTTCGTCGACTTCGCCAACCTTGCTTATGGGCTACGACAATGTGTTGGCCAAGTTTGCTTTCAAGCAATCGGTATGTGTGCACAACTTCACAGCAGTTTGCATCGCATGGCGAGTAGAGTGATCGTTTGAGTTTGCTGGCTCTAAGGATCCTTGTATGTAGAGTATGCAAAAACACCAGTTCCCCTGAGCTCAATGGGATCCTGGAAGACCAAGGTCTGGATATGCGCTGTAGAGTATGCTGATGAGTTCTGTAGCCAGGCAAGCCCTCCTAGGGGACCACCAGTTCCCCTGAGCCTCCTTTCCTGAACCAATCGGCGTCTGGATCCGTGCTTTCTCCTGCCAAACGGCAAAGAAAAAGTGAACCCCAACCTCCCAGGTCCTTGTGGACTTCAGTGGGGGAACAAAGCTTGGGACAAGCAAAAACACCCATCTGAAGAGAAGGAAAAACAAAGACATAGAAGGGAAAGGAAGGAACGGAAATGATTCTTACCCATTGAGATTCCAAGATCAACGCTGGGGGGAGAGAGAGAGAGAGAGAGAGAGAGAGAGAGAGGATGGCTGTTTCTCACGGCCCTCAAGCTGTCAGGTGGCAGTGGGAAGCTGTTTTAAGTCCCTACAGAAGAGCAAAGGATGAAGGAATTGTGGCTGATTTGCGATTTCATCTGGACATTCAGAAGTTGCACATCTTGAAGATGCGAAATTTCACTTGCTTTTACTGCTCGCCTATTGGAAGGACAAAGTGGACCCTCATCCATGACCTCTGACAAGTGATTGGAATGAGGGGCGCATCGCGTTCAGGTACATTCACGAGTGTCTAGGTGAGAACATGATGTTTGTTCTTCAATTTAGCTGTCAGAGGACCATAAAAAGTGGCAGACTTGATAATAATGTACATTGCTTGTTGTAAATGAATCTGGACATGCTATTTTGGTCATTCATTTGCAACAGGCCCAGTGAGAGCTGCGATCTTTCTTTTTTTTTTCATTTCTAAATGCAGGCTTGACTTCTCCTCTTATGGGGGACAGCCGCATTTATGTTATGCTATTATCTTCTCTCAGTATTATGCCTTGCACTACTACCCGGAATCTACGGTCTAAGCTCAATCTGAGGTTCGGGATGTAAAGTTGGTACTTCTGTGCGCAGGTTTACCAGCTAAGCACTACCCTTAAATTCAGTAACTGAAGCTAAGCTATCCTTAGGTTATGGGTCCGCACCTACCTAACTCTGCTCTGTGCGGGAAGCAGTGCCCAAGCTCCTAACACCTTGCATGGGCTGGAAAGTCAAATACAACTTCCGCAGCCAGCCAGGAGGGACAACCTGACTTTCAAAGCCGCTGAACCCGAAGCATGCCACAGGGGGCCGTGGGGAATCAATAGGATATCGTGGGGAATCGATCGCACAACCTCCTGTGTACCACTTACGTGCTCAGCCAACTGAGCTAGGCCCCTTGGCCTATCTTTCACTTCTTTGTTTTTCTAGATTCTAAATTTGTTTGCTTTTGTTTTCCGTTTCTTGCTCACAGCCGCTTCTTTTCCTTTCTGGGAACTGTATAAGGTGGGGCTGTCTTCATCTGGGCAAGGCTGCCTTGAAAAACTACCCTTCTTTGGAACAGCTGCCAAGCCTTCCACGGAAGGTACCTGTGGCCTCAGTGCACACAAGAGGTTCACAAAACACCCCCGGCGGGGAACTGGCGGTTAGAGTCACTTGGACAGTTTTGTGTTAGCTTGGAGCTGAGGAGGGCTGTGGAAGGCGTTAACCAAAGCTGTTGATTGTATTAATTCAGAAAGAAATCGAGTCCATGTGGAGAAGAATATGTGGGCAATGCTCTGTGGTTCTGTATGCTTGGAACCAGGTTGTGCGGGTGATGGAAGTGACAGAAAGGTCTGTGAATGATGATTACCTCACAAAACTGGTGGTTTTGCATTATCAGCTGAAATGAAAAGGGTTTCGTGAAGTGTGAGACACTGAAGAGTATGCAAAGAACCTAACGAGTAGCATTTAGCAGGAAGGAGTTGAAAAAGGCAAAGGGGAAATTTCGTTGTTAAAAAAACACAAAAGAAAAGTGTAACAAAAACGGTACGTTCCATCTCATCTTATATGGAGGAGGGGGAKGAGGGGGGGGGGTATGATTCTCTTATAACTTGGTGCACATAAATGACATAAGAAGTGAAGTCACAAAAGTGGTGGTTTTGCATTATCAGCTGAAATGAACAGGTTTCGTGAAGTGTGAGACACTGAAGAGTGTGCAGAGAACCTAACGAGTAGCATTTAGCAGGAAGGAGTTGAAAAAGGCAAAGGGGAAATTTCGTTGTTAAAAAAACACAAAAGAAAAGTGTAACAAAAACGGTACATTCCATCTCATCTTATATGGAGGAGGGGGAGGAGGGGGGGGGTATGATTCTCTTATAACTTGGTGCACGTAAATGACATAAGAAGTGAATGGTTGAACGGGACAAGCTGGGACACGTCGATAGGAATGGAAAACTTTTGATCCAATGATAATCACACAACGAACGAACGAAATAGAAAGTACAAGAAAGAAACTCTGAAGGCTGGAACATAAATGAAGTGAAAAAGGAAATAATTGGAATGGTTTTAGCTTTATGCCAAAATCTTTGGAAATAAAAAAATACCAAAGCGAGTGATGTTCATGTGAATGTGCACTTTCTCTCACTTCGTTCTATGTGAAACCACAGCTGAGCCGCTTTGGTTATGGAGTTTGGTTGGATGAGGCGGTTTGATTCTTCCTTGTTACTAAGTGTGTCTGGAGCATCAAAATGGTGTGATGGAATGATAAATAGTTTAGATCAAATTCAGATTTCTCAAATTCTTAAATATGAACAAGAGTTGTTGAAATCAATTGATCCAAGTTTGCTAACACGACCAGCGCTTTATTACTATGGCCTCCTTGCAGACACCGGAGTCTAACGAGCTGACAAAGCAAATAAAGGATAAACTACGAGACGCCGAGAAGTTGGGTACGTTCCATCTCATCTCATATCGGGGAACTTCCGTCCTTGAGTTCTCTGAAAAGCATCCCACTTGTTCTTGCAGTGAATCTGTCCAGCAAAAACTCCGAATCCGTCATCGCCAAGTATGCATTGGAACTTAAAAGTGGTGGGTACTTACTGGAGCGTGTGTGCGCTTCCAGTGAAGCGCTATTTTCTGGGGGTAGCTTCTGCTTTGCAGTGTAGGAATATAGCTCCTTGTGGTATGGGTTGTGGACATAGCAGAGGTCTACATGTCGGTTTTTTACTTGTCGGGTCAACATCAGTGTCCCGTCGTTGGATTCCAAATCTGCTGAACGTGGAGGGGAAAGCAAACCTCCTTCCAAAAAGTCTCCCTGCATTCCCATACCTCTTGCTCTGGGAAATGCATCTGCTTGTTTGGCCTGGTATTTGCTGTGGCGTATGACTGTGGGTTGCGTGAACAATCTGCATCGTTACAGTGGTTGTGCACTCTCTTGGGCTGACGAGAGGTGCGCTCTTTTTTGCGCTGATGAGAGGTTGTGCACTTTTTGGGCTCCGGAGAAGGGCCGGAGTGGCTTAGATGGCAGCATTCTTGGGTTGCAATGTGTGCACAGCTCCGATGCTGCGATGGTTGTGCTCGGTAGCATTCTTGGGTTGCAATGTGTGTGCGGCTCCGATGCTGCTATGGTTGTGCTCCCCAGACCGGCCAGGATGCCATATATTCTTAAGCCACTCCTGACCGGTCTCAGGAGCACAAAGTGCGCCCAACCTAAGCAGCTTGGAACCGTCCACATGTTGCAACCGAAGAATGCTGGCATCATAAGTCACTCCTCGCCCTTCTTGGGAGCCCAAAAGAGTGCACAACCATTGTAACGATGCAGATTGTTCACACAATCCACGAACGTTTGGCACAGCAAATGCGAGGCCGAACAAGCAGACAACAAGACTAAACTATGGTGTATTTGGATAGAGGTCAAGACTTCAATATGCGGGGAAGTCACACCTGGGATCTGATTGCGCAGTGAATTCGTGATTGCATATGATTAGCTGGACTCTTAGAGGTGGTCCATGACATATAGGGGTTGTTGATTCTGGTTTTCATAAAGTCAGAGGGAGAATTCATCAGCTATTTAAGTTCACACCCAGGGTTGCATGCCTGCCGACCGCCGACCGTTTTCCGGTCAGCAGTCTGCCGACCAGTCAGAAAACGGCCATCCACTGATTTTTTTTCAAATCTGAGTTGGGGGCTGTACTGTGCTTAATGAGTACAGCCCAAATCTGCTGAAAAACTTTTAGGGAGGAGGTGGGTGGGTGCAGCGGGAGGTCGGGGGGGGTACAGGGGGGTATGGGGGAGTTAGAAGGGGTATTGGGGGCTTAACGAGGGAGCAGCTGGCTGAGGTAGCCAAACGTGCCCATCCCTTCTACAAATTCTAAGGGCACGGAAAAAAGAATTTAGGGCCACGTATTCCTCATTGCATTTAATTTTCTTTTCTGAAGGGCCCCCAGCAGAGCATCTGCAGGGCTCTCATGTCTTACCAGAGACATTCGTCGAATTCCGTACGAAAGAGGAGCAGGCCAGCAAATATATCTTCTGGATCCGAAGTCAGGTCTGTGTTCCAGCAGTTATGGGTTTTCCTACGAGCAGTGCCCCTAAGGGCCTGGTTCCACTTGTCACCACTTGCATCAAAAGACAAAACATATGGTGGCGTATTATTCCATGTTCTAGCAGAAGATTCGTTGTAGTTTTGCACATTTGGTGAGGAGTGGAGGGAAGCCCTGAAAATCACGTGGTGAGTTGGCCTGCTACTGGCCAGATAATCACGTGCTCAGTGGCCCCTTAGCTTCTGAAACACGGACCTTAACGTGAATCTACACAATATATAGTTGGCGTGCTGCTGACTTGCAATGTGTTTGAGAGCTGCATCTTTCGTTGCGAGTAGGCCCTTGCTAATTATTAACAGGGGCCTCTCAGATTACCCGCAAGGGTTCTCTGATAAATGTCAAAGGCCTATTTGTTTGCTCTCCCTCTCTTTCTCGTGTGTCTCTGTCAGTCTCTCTCTCTCTTTTCTGCATCGGGGTTATTAGGGTTTCTGGACCGATCTTTTTTCCCAGGGTGCTGACAACCCCAACAGGCAGGTGCCGACCAGGTGACCGGCCGGGTGGTTGGCAGCTGACCAGTCTGGGGCCGCCAACCGTCAGGGTGTGCAACACTGTTCACACCATTTTTTAGGTAAGGAAAAACCACGCGAGAGGAGGATTTGTTGTGCATTATGTGCTGGAGTGATGGAACTGCAGCATTCTGTCTGAATCTCTCAATGTCCCAGCTCGTCAACACTCGTGTAGTTTGTTGTGTTGAATAATTGTGTGCTTGTGAATGTGTGACAAACTTATATGAAGTCCTCTTGTCAGCCTTCGAAGGACTGAAAAGCTGACAACTTGTGCTTTGCTCAAACCGAACTGATGCTTGGACATCCATCCTGGATTTGCAGACCTGGAGGGGAAAACGGATGAGAAATTGAAAGTGCTAGAGGTTGTCGAGGAACTTCGGCAGAAGCGTGCTGATAAGCAGGTAAGTGGATTCATGAGCTGTCAAATTCCTAATCCTGGGTGCTTATGTCCCAGCATTTCACCAGCCCACTGCACGAGGCAAAGAAACAAAAATGTTGCCACTCAACTGTGGGCATATGAAAGAATCTATGACATCAATGCAATTGTCATGATGTAACTATTGTTCGGTGTTATTGCGAAACTACAGTTGGTAGGGTTACTTTAGGAAATGCCTGAGATGTGTCTTCGTTTCCCATCCTTGGACAAAAAGCATCTTCTGTGCGCCATGGAGGTTTTCTAGTGATGAGAAACAAGGTCGTTTGTGGCCAACTGTGGTCGGAGACATCATGATTGGGCACCAAAGCTTCTCTTTCTCGGTTTCCTCTTTTTTGCCTTTGCAGAAGGCAGGCCAGCAGAGTCCTAGCAGCCAGGAAAATATGGGCCGGTCAAAAAGCACCGAAGAGGTTGGATGGAAAGGGTAGTTGGAGCAGAGGAGAGGAGGGTAGAGGAAACAGAGTGCTTACAAGATCCAGGTTATGATAATGATGAACATCTGAGAAGAGCAGGATCCGCAGCTGCAGCGGCAGCAGAAGGCGGATGTGTGAGTTTTGCGGGGCCAGTATTTTGGGGAGGATGGTAGGTTCCTCCTCATCAGGGAAAAGCATTACGATAAGAAAACTGCCTAGAAAAAAATTCGTGCAAAACCAAATGCATATTTTGATCAGGGATGCTATAACCGGGTAGTCCTGTTGTTTCAGTCTGGGCAGGCCAGGGTCGGTATATTTTTTCGTTCGAAAATCTGGTAGCATTGACACTGCTGGTTTAACCTTACAATTGGTCGTGCCTGAGGGTGCTATGTGTGTGTGTGTGTGTGTGTGTGTGTGTGTGTGTGTGAGAGAGAGAGAGAGAGAGAGAGAGAGAGAGAGAATCTGTGTTTTTTTTTTTGTGGGGAGAGAGATTGAGCCTATCTTTGGTTTTTGTGGATTGCTTACAGGCCCTTGCACTGCTGGAGACATTTAACAAAGACAGAGCAACAGGTCCATTGGGAAGTGCTATGTTGGGATCTCCTCCTGGTGTAGGACCTTCACCAATACCCCCAGATCCTCGAACTCAGGAGGCGATAAGGGAGAGGCTCAAGAAAGCAGAGGAACTTGGTATAGCTGCTGCCTCTATTCTTGTCTTGCCTCTTTTGATTCTTAAAACGAGTATTCCAATCTTTTTTGGATGCTTGTTTTTCTCATCCCACATCATTTATAGATCGAAGACCAACAGAGTAAGGAGAAGAGCAGCTGTGAATGGAAAAATTTCAGGTGGAATGGGTGCAGCATTAGCCCGGTAGGAATATATTTGATCTGTAACGTAGGTCACAAGCGACCCAGCTGGGCGTGCCCGACTGGGTGCTCACTCCAGGTACCCTGGGCAGCAGAACTAGATTTCTTTTATTGGTTCTTTGGGTGGAAAGGTGTTGCGCCACCCACCGAGATCTGCCTGAATCTGGCTCTTTTGTTTTTATTTGGTTTATGTGTACGGTGTTTGGTGGGCAAGGTGGGGACTGGATAGTCACGAAACACACATAGGACGCCCTTAACTCAAAACAGAGGTGTTACACACGCAAATGGAGTGAAACACAAAACTTCCAGGCCGCCTTGTCATACACTTTCAGGAGTTGAGAAAAACCCAAGGAAGCTCAGAACGGTCTGTTGTGGAGTAAAGACTAAAAACACGCTGCTGACGTTGAAGTGCTGGCTCCTATCGCCGTTGAACCTTGTCCTGTTGCTGCAGTTGCCCCTTGCTCTGCTGTTCTTGAATCTCCCCATGATGCTCTTCCATCTTCTGCAGCCACAGCTCCTTTTGCTGTCACTCCTCCTACTTGTCCTGTGATCCCTCAGGATGCTGCTGCTGCCAGTCTCTTCTCTCGTTGCTGCTGGTGTGTTCCTCCTCCCAAAGAGGAAAAGCTACAGTTTTGCTTCGTCCGCCTGGCATACATTTCTGAGCTGCACATTGGTCCCGGGATTGTGCTTTAGCTTTGGATGCTTGTCACTGATGGTGTGTCCTGTCCCCATTTTCTCCCCTTGGCACTCGAAAGGTCACACCACTGTCCAAGTGACCTGCCTGCACGATCAATGTGAGGTCATCACAAGGCTCATCGTCATGATTGGACTTATTTGCTATCTCTAGACCAATCACCATCTCATCCCATGTGTCTCCTCGCCCCTCTCTTCCATGTTTAGCTGGTGTTTCTCATGCCCCTCCAGAGGACCTTAGTCGTCAAATTCTCGCCGGCCCTTTCCTCGGGGATTCTTCAGAGGGATCTGCTGTGCCATGTCATCATCTGAAAAATCTGAAGTGTATTCGAAGGCAGAAAAGCAGGATCATCGTCTTGTGGAGCCTACTCATCCTTGTTCTTCTCGACCTCTTTCCCCCTCTTCCAGGTGCTTTCCCTCTTCTTCCCGACGCCTAGCCTCCTTCCATGTCTATTCTGCTGGATTTTCTGGGGAAAGTGTGCGGATCTGCCCACCCCTCACTGCACTGTGACATAAGGAACTGCATAGTATTCTGCACAACGGGACTCTGCATTTCATTCAATCAGCAGGTGTCCCTCCTTGGGTTGACGAGGAAGTTTGCAGCACGTACAGCCTGCCTCGTCATCTTGCACAGTGCCGTGACCCCCTTCTCGATGGCCTGGTGCTTGTCTTTCTGTGAATGTGGGGATTTTCTTCTATTGCCTGATTGACCCATTTCCAAACTCCGAGAGCTGGCGGGAGGCTGTGAGACAGCAGAAGCAGCAGCAGCAGGAAAAGAAGATGAAGAAGAAAAAGAAGAAAGAAGAAGAATGGTTGGGAGTGTGATAGGGGGACGACCAGGATTGTGATGTGGGGAAGTTGATGACGATGGCTGGGAAACAATGATGATGACGATGGCTTCATGATTATGATGGCTGCAGGATGACAAATCTCAGCGGAGGGCGAACATGAGTGAAGTCACCATATCAGCCTTGCCTGGCCTTAACCACTTCCAGGCTAGCCCTAGCGCTAAGGTAGCATGAGGGCCTTACCAACATGTCCTGCCAGCTGGCCGGTTGGCCTTCAGGGCAGGTCCGGAGGGCCTGAGGAGAAGTAGAATCTGGGTTGTAATTGAGAACAATGGAATCTGTTTGTTTTCATTTGCTCCGATAGTGCAGGTGTCCTGTCTTCTCCCTGCTTGCCTTGTGTGTGTGAAACCCTGTTTCTGGAATACTCTGATGTTCATTCTTTCCTCGGGCAACGCACATTTGGTGACCTTGTGTTTGTCTCTAGTCTCTCTGTCTGAAGTTATCCGCACATGGTTATGTTCCTGAAGTATCTTGTTTGTCCGTCTTGTTAAGCTCTGAAGTATTCAGCACTGTGAACATAACAGTCCACCTCGCTTTGTTGAGTGCTCCAGTGGCCATGAACTCCTGTAAAGTACAGCCTCATGTTAGCAGTCCACCTATCTAGCACTGCGAACTGAATTTTCTTACAGGCATTGCTTCATTCATGAAGACCCATTGCTCAGGTATGTTATTGCTGATTGTGCCATGCAAACTGTCAGGTGAGATGGGGATGGTGGACGAAGCACAAAAAGCAATGGAAGAAGCTGAAGCATTGAAGAGAGTAAGCAAACTCATTTCTCTTATTTCCCCTGTTCTGAAGCCTTAGCTATGCTGCTAGGGCATTGCTGTGTCTGTCTGCCCGCCTGTGATCCGTGAAACAGCTATATAATATGCTGAATTAGTGATAGGGAGTGAATCTCTTGCAAGGTTGATACAACTATCATAAGAGTAGGCTGCCAGCCTGACATGCAAAACCTCCGTCAAACAGATACCTTGGGTGCAAGGGTGGTAATCATGCTGCTTTGGGTAAGGAAATCAGTTGGCATGCGGTACTGAGCGCAGACAGTTCCTTACAAAATCTAAGGTAAAATTTCAGGGAGGTAAAATTTGTCACTGTTGTTCCACCTGATGACCATCTTTCCTTTTGCTGTGTCTTCTTAACCATTTTCCTTTTGCTCTGTCTTCTTAAGTTTGACTAAGATGGAAGCTCATTTCAGAGCCTTTGGATCTTGCTCTCGGTGATATGGCATCTGGGCCATGCTCCTCTACTTTGGCAGCCTGCACTCTCTAGAAGTCCGCGTTTCAACTGGTGTAATCGAACTTGAGTGGCGTGCGACGCTGGAGGTCTGTTGCACGTTGCTGTTGAGGACGGTCAGCACACTTCAGACAACGTGTTTCAGTGGATGTAATGAGCTTGTACCGTTTGCTATGTGATGAGTGGGGCGCTGCAGGTCTGTTACTCGTTGCTGTCAATGACGGTCAGTGGGAGATTGCAGCCTTCATTGCTGTGTTAGTTAGTGGGAACAGTCTGGGTATGGCCAAATCATAGTTTGGCATGTCTCGAAGTGCCAAAGTCCCATGTGCCAAAAATGTTTCTCTTAGGTGAATTGAGGGTTTGGTTCGGTGCTATATTGCACTGTCCTGCCCTCGATTATATCCAGAATGTCATGTGGCCCATACTTGGAGGCCACCTGAGTTCTCAAGGATGTGCAGGCAACTGTGTGCGTGGGTGAATAAGAGTTTTTGCGTGGTGGCATGATGTCCCATGTGGCTGTCCGTGTCACTGTATGTGTAGGTTAACTCGAACTGTCATTGGCTGCCAAGTCTTCAATATTTCAGTTGCCGCCAGCTGTGGGATGGCAAAGGACTCAGTTTTGGGTTGGCGAGGGCCAGAGCAGGAAACACACCCTCCACCATCCCCTCAATCCCATGGACCTCGCACCCCCCCGAGCGCACTTTATAAAGGGTGTGCATCCTGCGACAATTGGACGGTGTTGTGCTGGCAGCTATAGGTGGAGGTGCACTGTAGACTGATTCTTAAGGGTTAATATGTGGTGTCAATTCTGTTTGCCTTCAGTCCTTGTCATTATCTCGAAACTCAAATACTGATGGGGCCACTGCTCACTGTTAGTGCCGTTCATTGTTCTTGCGCACTACGTGCACGTGTCCTTCAGTTCCCATTAGAGTTGGGAAACATAGGGAATATATCATGCCACTCCCTTGGGCAACGTAAGAACCCTTAGGATTGTTTTAGTATGACTGCAATGGTGCCATTGGATGGTTTTGTTCCGTTTTCTAATCTGAAGCCATGGGTGTGGACGTGCAGCTTTCTTCTCTGACTACTTCTTGATGTGGAGGATTGTGTACATATTGCTGGCCAAATTGCTTCTGACGTAGGAGGTACATGTTCATCAAGTTCCTGAATGTTGTGCTGTGTTCTGGTGTGTTTCTGTTGGTTTGTGCAGCTTGGTAGCCGAGGCGATCCTGCTGATGGTCAAAAAGGCGACATGCGAATTGTGAGTGGTTTCTTTTCCTTGTTCAGACTTACGTAAACCGTTCATGGACATGACGCTCCCTCCCATAATCGTTTGTTCTTCCTGCTTTGTTGCATCTCTCAAATACACTGATTCTGTTTAGGAGCATAGCTGTGGAGAGAGTTGGACATTTGGCTCAGTGATCTAGCTAATGTCCGTATTAATGAGACATCCCCTTGAAAATTAGTTCGTCTGCTCCCTACTGTCCTGTATTCACTCTCAATGGGTGCCAGGAGGCAGGAGGAGTAGAATGGGAACCGAACAATGGTGGCGTTTGTTTTGATGCGAGTGCCTCGAATGGCAGTGGAGTTTTCCACTGTCCAAAACGTCTTCATTAACCACTTTGTTGGGAAGTATTTATTGAAGATTTTCAACTGGAACTGCAGCTCTGATGTACTCGGGCCTTGTACACCATGGGGATTTCTTTCGCTTGAAATCGTTTCTATGATGAACCAGTGACTTTGATACTCTACACGCTTGACGTGCACAGCATGTTTTTTGCACATAGAGACCATCTGCTCTTCTTCTGATTGGTATAACTACCTATGTGGCTGAAGGCCTCTACAGTCTAATAACAACGACGCAATTATCAGGGGTGCGCTCTACCAGCTTAGCTAATAGCCCACCATTTTTAGAGAATAGGCCCCTCACCTTATTCGTTCTGAATTATGATTTTGAGTACTTACGCCGTTGATTCTTAATTCTGAATTTCAGTAGTATATAAGGGCCTAAATCAGTTCTGTATTATGTAGAAAAAACTGCCAATCCGTAGCAGTAACTACTTTTGGGCTTTTGCTATTTTTTTGGGTGCATTCGGTTTTTTAATTGTAGGTATATGACATATGTAGTTACTTAAAAAATAATTATTTTTTCTGTTTTCGGCAGAGAACATTCTTTTTATCCCACAAGGGGCTGTAATGCGTTTCTATGGTATAGCTGACATTTTTTAAAGTTTTTACGACCAGACCTGTGCCTGCTTAAAGTGCCACTTCGGGAGTTCATGATCCATGCTGGCTTGGGTAGGCCTACCACATACCTACGGCAGGCAAGCTCTGTAAGCTTGGATGGCTTGAACTCGGGACTTCTTTGTTTTGCTGTGAGTTTAGGATGAATGGTTTATCCGGTTATATTCAACACAAGGCGGGAGAGTTTGAAGGTGTGCAGTGTGTGGAGGTGTGAAGAGGAATGAAGTTGTGCACAGGTGTTTGCTATGCTTTCACCTAGGAGGTTCTGTCCTCCGGTTAATTCAGTGTGTGAGATTTGGTGTCACGCATGCACACTGAACGCTATAGTTTCTACAAGGTGCAGGTTGGAATCATCCTGCGAAATCATTTCATCTTCAAATGCGAAGTCGTTTGGTCGCTTGGATACTGTAGTCTCGGGAAGGGCAACTACAGCTAGCAGATGTTCAGGGGTGGAGCTTGTGGGAGTTCAAAGTGCATCTGGAAGTTGTTCCTAACGTCTCAAAGGTTGTTCCCATGGTCAGGGAAAACTCCTGCGGAGAGAACGTGAACCAAGCCTTGCTGGTCGTTGAAATGTCTAGAACTCTGCCAGCAGTGTTGGGTGCTCTGAGTTGTAGCAACACATAAAATTAAACCACCAGTACCTCGGCCAGCTATTGAATCGGAGCCTGAATTTGCCCTGCGCGCCGATTTTTGCCGACCCTCTGTCGTTTCGTGAAAAAACGGGGTACCGGTACCGGTACCGCTACTTGGCACTTCGGCCTGAGGGCAGGTCCATCTGAACGGAAAACACATGGACCTGTGTTCAGGCCGAATTGGCAAGTAATGCAGTTTTTTTTTTTTTTTTTTTTTTTGTTTCGTTTGCTGCTTTCGCTTTCCGTACAGTCGCCGCAGGTCTGGTGCTCCCTGCGGATGGTGCGTGGCAATGGCCGTCCGTTTCTCTCTCTCTCTCTCTCTCTGTGCGCCTTTCCGCTGACGAAAGGCAGTGCTTCCGACAAGTAAGCTCTCTCTCTCTCTCTCTGTGCGTGCGCTTTTCCGCTCAGGAAAGCCCATGCTTTCGACAAGTGCTCTCTCTCTCTCTCACTCTCTCTCTCTCTCTTTCTCTATCTCTCACTGTGTGTGCGCCTTTCCGCCGACGAAAGGCTGCGCTATCGACAACCTCTCTCTCTTTCTCTCTCTCTCGTTGTTTGCGCCTTTCTGCTGACGAAAGGCCGCGCTATCGACAAGCTCTCTGTCTCTCTCTCTCTCTTTCCCTCCCCCAACAAACGACGGGCTGGACGTGGAAGCGGGGCGATGGCAGACGGGAAGACTGTAGGCCGCATGTGCAAGCACCCACCGGCCACCGCGCGGCGGGAAACCGCCTGTCTTTTTTTTTGTTTTTTTTTGTTTTTTTTTCCCCTCTTTTGTTTGTCCGTGCGTACAGCTCGCCCAAATGGTCGTAACCTATGTCCGCCTTCTTACTACCGGCCTTGTCCTGACTGGGCCCGCGAGGCCTTCATGAAAAAAACCTGCTGAACTGTCCCAGAGGCCCTGCGGTCGTGGCGCGTATACGGGAAGACCCGCGGCCGATGTATGGCCCAGGTACTGGTGGTTTAATTGGGTGCTCTGAGTTGTGGCCACACAAATAATTGTATCTTTTCGCTGTTCTGCTGGGTCCTTTGAGTTGTGGCCACACAAAAGTGCTTTCTGTTATTGGTGCTCGTTGGTGGCATTCCCCGTTGGACCGATCAAGGGTTATGGTTTCTGCTTTGTATGAGGATTGCTGTCATAATCGGTGCGGTCTTTGTACTTGCTATTATGTTCTTGGTGATTGTGTTGGTAGTCTATGTTGAAGAGCACGGTTGGTATGTTGGGTTGAGAATGGGTGAAGGAAGGGTGTCGGGGTCACAAGCGTCATGAAGGTTTTGGTTGTGGTTTGGTGTGGAGCAGGTGCTGGTTGGTATGCTTTTCATGAAAGATAGCTCCTCCTCTGGATTGTATTCTTGTGCCTGTGTGTTGCATTCGGAGGCCATGGTAGTTTCTTTCTGCAATGATGGCATGCATTTGATGCTTGGGTTTTGCCCGAATGCGGTGATGGAGAAGGAACGTCATGGAGGTGAATTCATGGAGTGAGCCTGTTGCAGGTAATTGCAGGTCCTGGAATGGACTCTAATGATGGCTTTTTGTGCTGGCCTTCATCTACCAGGGCTTTCTGTTGCCGGGCGCCTGTTAGCACCTAAAATTGCTGGGTTCTTTCATAATGTTTTGTGAGTTCCTCTGCCCTAAATTTGAATGACATTCTCAGAAAAGCAGAGATTGGGAATGTGTATGCTGGTCTGTGATTTGTTTACTCAACTGGGCTGGCTTTCTGATTCTGATAACCTCGTGCACACTCCTAGGCTATGATAAACTCTTTGCCCGCTGATTCTCAAATCCGCAATTCATCCCCAGGAAAGAGGTTTATTCGGTGATTTATCTGCAGGGCTTGCAGGAATTTGATAATGCAAATGCTTTACTGGATTTTGATGAAAATGCTGGGGACGGTTTTATTCTTATTTGTTCGAATTCTTGTTTGCCTCCCCCCGCCTTTTTTTTTTTTACACTAGCTTGTCCTTCACACTTCCTTGGCTGTTCACTGAAGAAGTACATCGCATTGTTATTCTCAGGATTTGATCGGTGCTTCTTTCTGTTGTTCTCACGGATCCTTGTTGATAAGTATAATATTTTGGCGTCAATATGTGTACTTGGTGCAGGCTGATCAGAAACTTCGTGTATGCGATGTTTGTGGAGCTTTCCTGAGTATCTACGACAGGTGGGTGCGAGTGACAGATAGGATTTTACCAATGGTGCAAAATGACACATACTTGTTTTTTTGGCCTTTTTGGTCTGATTATTTTGCCAATTTCTGCGCAAGCTTCCTTTCACGTGAACGCAACTGCAACTCCGATGATCTTATCTTGCACAGCGATCCATTGCCTCAGCTGTGGGGACAGTGGGTAACTGCGTGGAGAAGGCTGTGTTCGGTGATGATAAACTAGGGTAGGGTTGAGGGTAGTCTTTGGGTCTTACAGGACACACTCATCTTCCATGCGTCTTCAGTTCTTGCTTCAAATTCTACGGCTTGCCGCTTAGTACAGGTTGAATGCTTGTACTGCCCTCTTGCTGTAGGCCTTTTGTTCTTTAGGAGTGTTTCAAAGTATTTGTGACGTTGGTAGTGTATTGGAGTGCCGGGTCACCTTTGGCATGAATAGAAATTAAGCCTCATTCCCTTCTGAATATCCATTGAACTGCAAATTTGTGCTTTTGAACTTGGGGGATGGTGTTTGATAGTTGACACGGTGTATAGTCAGTTTTTCTCTGGCTAAGTGACGAATCTGTCCTAGTCTCATCATCTCGTACTGGCCCGGTGCTTTGCTCTGGAGTTGTTGGGTCATTCTTTGTGACGTCAGTGTGTCACTGCTCTGTAATTTGTTCCTTGACATGCTATCCATCTCTCACCTCGCTCTCCCCCTATAGTGTGAAAAGATGAGAATTATGCTTGCAAAGCATCAACAAGTTCAGGGATTGTGGAAGGTTATGCTTACGCGTCGATGTTCTATTGTTGCCTGGAACTATGGGGATGCAGGAGCTAATGACTTGAGGTGGTGGCTTGTTTCTGTGATCCATGTGCAAAGCCTTTTCTTGAGAGGGGAAATAAATTTACTCCAAGGCCAGGGCTTGGCTCATGTTGTAGGCAGTGGCAGGGCAGTCGGGCACTTGGCCAAGTGGTATGAGATGTGGATCTGTGTATTTGGGTGGCTAGATAGTGAAAGGTCATGCTCACGCCCCGATGTTCTATTGTTGCCTGCAACTATGGGGATGCAGGAGCCAATGGCTTGAGGTGGTGGCTTGTTTCTGTGATCCATGTGCAGAGCCTTTTCTTGAGAGGGGAAAGAGATCTACTCCAGGCCAGGGGTTGGCTCATGTTGTAGGCAGTGGCAGGGCAGGCGGGCACATGGCGAAGTGATATGAGATGTGGATCTGTGTATTTGGGTGGCTAGACGACTCCTTTCTTCTTGTACGCAGTGTTGCATAGGAAGCTAGCAGGAATTGTCTGCGGAAGGATGCCTGAGAGGCCTGTTTGTTGGGCTGTGGGTTTTCTTTTACGGGCAGGGATTGCAAGGGTGTTTTCTGAAGGTTCCTTAGGACTGAGCAGGTGTTCGCCCCTTGATGTTTCTGACGTGTTCTCAATATTTTGTCTTGGCAAAATGTAGCAAATTGTGCTGTCTTTTCGCTGTTGCTCGAGAGTCAGACGGCATTCTGCATCAGCATGATGCAAATGGTCAGGTGCGTTGGTTAGGGTCTGCTACTGATGTCGAATAGTGAAACTTGGAAAGTGCAGGTGTAAGTATCAGCCCAATGGGTGGAAGAACCGGCCAGTAAGTATGCAAATGTGCTGGCATACCGAAGCTCTACTGGGGTGGCTACGTTTTTACTCAGTAATGGTTAAATGTCGTTGGTGTCATGCAAATGTGCTGGCATACCGAAGCTCTACTGGGGCGGCTACTTTTTTACTCTGTAATGGTTAAATGTTGTTGGTGTCATGGTACTGGTCCTGCCATTCCTGAGGGCAGAATGCCGATCGCCTGACCACAGGTTATTGCACAAACTGAAGCAATGCGACGGCCGAAGTGTTAAATGTAATGGTGCTGAGGGTGAATGGCAAGGTGCAACCACTCTCAAGCTTGTGCAGAAAAACTGAACTTCCCTTCATCAATGAGATGTGAAGAAGGGAGTGAAGGTGCTTGCAAGAGAGAGAAGGGCTCACTGGTAAGCGGAATGCTCATATCTGTCACTAGCCGCAGCCCTAAGTACTGGATTCAACCTGGGATTAAGGTACTAGGTTTGGGTCTCTTGTAGGTTCCTTGAGATCAAGTTACTTGGCCATTGTCCTGTTCACCCAGGCTGCTGACACATGTACCAATGCCTGGCATTTGGAGAAAGTGGCCCTCGTTGGTCTTGTGGGATGGCTTCTGAGCTTGTATTTTATATTGTTGGCACACCTGCTCTGGACCGAAGATGACTTCTGAAAGTTCTGAAGGCCTAACCTCGCATTTGTGGTTCCTTTGATGAACCTATGTTGCCATACAGCGATAGGCGATTGGCAGACCATTTTGGAGGAAAATTGCATTTGGGCTACTTCCAGATCCGCGAAAAGTTGCAAGAAATTAGGGTAAGCAAGCCCATCTTGCTGCGGCGATCTTCTTCCTGGTTTTTATTGCGTGTGGCTGCTCCCTGGTTTTCAGACGTGTGTTGGCTTCAGTGTGTTTGTATGTGTTCTCTGTGTGTGTGTGTGCTTGCGTGTGACTCACATTCTGACTTGCCTGCAAGAACAATTCTTACGGGATGTGTGGTCCTGTTAGAATCGATGAGGATTGGGAAAGGGATTGCAGGGCCGTGACATCACTGGTAAAAGAGACTCCATGAGAAAGGAGTTTTTGTGGAATGGTAAATGGATATATGTTTGAACTTTTAAGTATGTGGAAAGTTGGTTTAGGGAGAGCTCTTCAAGAGATCGCATCATCACACAAGTTGCATGTCTTGCACAATTTCTATTTCGTTTTACAATACAAAGGAAAGAACAACTGAATAACAGCTAGATCTTAGGGAGAATATGTCGGAGTGGTCGGCGAGCATGGGTTACCCTCTGTCATGTCGATGGAGAAGAGTCTCATGGACCTTTGGAAGTTGATGTCCCGGCTTGTTGAAAGTGCAGTAGCTCTTCAAAAACCATGGCCGATTTCTGAGCACAGGAAATTGAAGGCACCTTTCCACTTGCAACAATTTAACATGGGAAAATGTCTCTCATTGAATCATTTTTTTTCTGGAAAAAACGACCTGTGTGGTTTCCAGACATTACCATTAGCATGGGGTAGTGATATGTGAAAAGTGACACCTGGAATATAGATTACACGATTGTGCCGTCTCGAAGGTGGCTTGCTTTGAGTAATATTTTCAGGAGTCGTGTGGCCGGTTGGGAAGTTGCCTGATCTAAAAAGGTTGGCAAGGGAATGAAAGGCGAGTCCTGGCTGTGGGTAAAAGGCGCTTCACATTTAATGAGATGTTTTTGATGACCGCATTACTGTCTTCCGGATATAGGAGATTGGAAAGGCGAGTTTTTGTAAGGCACGTGCAGCTGTTGCAGGTGCAGGATATGTAATTTATAGAAAGCTTTTGAGTCGGGCAATAACTCCTGGCGAAAGTGCAGAATAAACTATGATATAGATGAATGTATTTCTAAGCATCCTGTGTTCTGGTGAGTTCACGAGGATGGCATGTTTTCTATCTCCTCCGCCTCCTTTTCCTGTCTGTGAAACTTGATATCATGGATGTCGGGATTAAAGGAAGACAAGGCGCATTTAATCGGAAGCTTGATGGCTATATACTGCTGGCCAAGCTAGGCAGGTCTCGTCAATGGCAGGGATGATGTAGCAGTATTCTGATCTATAAAGCAGTAATTTGAAGCAAGGTGTCATTTGAGCACGCTCACATCGGAAGACGGAAATGGCATTATAGATGCCATTGCAGCCGCTTGTCTGTTAGTCTTGTAGTGCCTGGTGTGGCATTCCTTATGCTTTTCGTCTTTTGAGGCAGACATATTTGGATTACTCCGTGCATCAGCACATGCTTGCCTGTTTTCAGTAGCCGAGTACATGGTGTTTATGGGCGATCGCAGGGGAGCTACTTGTTGTCTCTGGCATTGCTGACGTTGGATTGGATTCATTCAATGTTTTGGCTGTAGACTCCATTTTGCCTTAGGCATTGTCAGGGCTTGTCCTGAGCGTACTTGGCCCGCAAATGGCCAGAGTTCTCCTGAAGATGCCCAAATCAGCTCACGTGTCATCTCTGGCATCGCTGGCCTTGTATTGGATTCCTTCGATTCTGGCTGTAGACTCCATTGTGCCTTAGGCATTGTCAGGGCTTGTCTTGAGTGTACTTGGCCTGCAAGTGGCCAGTGTTCTCCTGAGGTAGGTTGAAGCAGCTGATTGAAGAGTAGACATGAGCCGGGTCTTGTCAGGGCTAAGTTCTGGTGCAAGTGGAAGTCGTCTGAAATCATCGTTTTGCTATATATACAAGCCACGATCTCCAGAGATAGATAACTTCTGCTGCATGGGGAGACCTGGTTTGTATTTGACTGGAACTGGTTAGGGGATTGGTATCTACAAAACTACAGGGGAGTAAATGTCATGAGGGGCCTGTCTGGACGGTTTGCTCTTGAAGCTCGTGAATAGCTGAGCTTGCTGGGCGAGCATGTTGGCCTGTGATCAAGGCCTTTACAGCACACGGATGACGGAGATCGTAGGCTGGTATGGATTCGTGCTTGGTTCTTGATGCCTGGTGCTTGATACCATGTGAACTTGGGGTAGCTTGGTGCCCGCGCTACGTGATCTCGGTGCTAGCCACCTGAATTGATGCCATCTATGCATTAGCTTACGTGAATTGAGGATCCATCTCCTCTCTGTGTCTCTCTCCATCTGTGATTTTTCTCATTTATCCGTTACCTTTCCTTTGTTTTTTGCAGCACGCTGGCGTGTTTGCTTGTAAATCTGTTTTCATTTTTTTTTTTTGACTTCTCCTTTTTGATTAAGTAGGTCGACTGTTCGCAGAGAGAGAGAGAGGACTGCAATTTCTTGTGTGTGGTTTTCTGTATGTTGACGGCAACAAGCTAAATTTCATGTCGACGGGAACAAGTCAATCCTTTCTTCTTCCTCCATTAGGAAGAAGTTACAGAAGCTTGATTACAAATTAAATAAAAGGAAAGGAGGATGAGTAGAACAGAGCAGAAGGTAGGGATGGCCATCATGAAGGGGAGAGTGAAAGACAAAACGGAGAAGGATGGGGGGAAGAGCTGTTGTTATTTTTTTTTCTGTCAGGAGTAGCGACTTGCATGCAAATCACTGTTTTCAGTGCTGAGCAGACGAGGGAAAACGACGGGGAGAAGTAACGACTTATATGGGGATTGCTGTTTTAGATGTTTATTTGATAGAAGGGATAGGATGATCGAGGATGGCTTTTGCCTTTTTCCTTTTGGGTGTAGGCAGGACGTAATTGGCTGTGGATTAAGAAAAGAGTGCTGAAGATTGGGGCCAACAAGTGTGTAACATGTGTAGATGAAGCAGTGAGTAGGAGGAACAGAGGGGCAATGTAGCAAGTCTCACTTTATTGTTTTTCTTTCCCGCCATGAAGTGGCACGAACAAATCGTTGAAGCTCAAAGTGGAACAAAAAGGGCAGGAAATGGAGGGAGGAGGAGGATGTGTACCACACATTAAGCCAGCTTGAAAACAGCAGTCTAGAAGCTCATTGAGAACACAGCTGAAGAAGAGGTGGAGGAGAGGAAGAGGGAACCTTACGAATAGGTCATAGAAAGATAAAATGGCAGGAGGATGATTTAGTGTCATTTAAGAGTCAATAATGCCAAGAAGGCCACGAACGGCAGAATGAAGATCATGTGTGAGTGGATGGGAGTTGGGAGTGGGATGAATGAAGGGAAGTGGGGAGGGACGGTGAGGAGTGTTGTAAAAAGTACCCCCTTGGGAAATAGATGATGAAATCACACGATTTCTAAAAAACAGAAATATTTGGTTTCCATACAGGTTCAGTGAGGAGTGTTGTAAACGGTATCCCCTTGGGAATAGATGATGAAACCTCACGAGCAGGCAGAAGAAGAGGCAGAGAGGGTGATGGGAGGATGATTAGGAGGAGAAATGCCTTTTTCTCCACTGTTGGCTATGCCCCCCCTTCCCTGTGCCAAAGTTTAGTCGAAGAGGCTGGAGATCATAAACAGGAGTGTTTCCTGCCCCCTTCACGAACACAGTGAAATCCATGAAAAGCTGGCGGAAGTGGAGGGGTGACGGAAGGAGTAATAGGAGAATGGGCTATTCCCCGTGCACAGGAGGATGATTAGGAGGAGAAATGCCTTTTTCTCCACTGTTGGCGATGTGCCCCCTTCCCCGTCCCAAAGTTCAGTCGAATTTAACAGGCTGGAGATCATAAACAGGAGTGTTTCCTGCCCCCTTCACAAACACAGTGAATCCATGAAAAGCTGGCGGAAGTGGAGGGGGAAAGAAGGGTGAAGGAAGGAGGATTAGGAGAATGGGCTATTCCCCACTGAGCTATAGGTTGCCCCATGTTTGGTGTAATAGAATCATGAATGGACATGTGAGCCACGCAGCATGGAATCACTGTTGACAAGTCTTGTACAACTTCAAAAACATGGGATTGATTAAGGCAGTTGAACTACTCCTGTCGTTGATTCCAATGCCAAATTACAGTATCTTTATAGCATCGGATGCATGCTCGCCTTAGGGGAGTACTTCCATAGTACCACAAGAATGAAGAGATGGACATGCTGAGACGGTGTGATTTCCCACAGAAAATCACAAACCGCAGGTCTGATCAAGCATTGCAAGTGAAGCCGGAACAGGTCATCTAGATATTGCTGAATAGGTCTAGTCTCATAGGTGTTTGACATGAATGTCCACGTCTCACACACAAGGTTGTCTACTACAGAACCTGTGTGTTGGAGGTTCTCTATGCCAGATAAGTTCTTAGGAGCTTCATCGGTATGAGAAGTCGATATTCCTTCTGGAGTGAAGAGGATTGCAGTGCTGGAGTTTGCGAGTGAAAACTTCGGGCTTTCGTCTTCGGCCACACTTCCTTCCCGAGATCTAGGAACGTTGTGATGGTCGCAGAGTTGGAGGTGACTTCTGTGTTGTGCTGTGGCCACTGGAAAACATGGAGAGAAACTAGGAGCATATATGGGTATGTTTTCGATTTGAAGTAACACCAAAAAACTGTGGCATGAGATAAGTTGATGGTCCTCCACTGCGGCACGCCCTGGTACGTGGAGTAAGTTGTTCTCTTTCCCTCCGGGCCCACTATGGAATTGTCAAGAAGAAAGGGTATTGTCTTGCAGCTGGTCCATATTTCTGGTAGGTTCCGGTGTACAGTCCATGTTCCAATGCATGACGAGTCGTATAGAAGTCAAAAGATTGTGCAGGTGAGTCGTTCTCATGCTCATGGGCACAGTCTGCGCTGCTTAGACTTCCTTCTTATACATACCTACTTGATTCTGTCTGATCAAATCTTCTTTGACAGGAACACCACTGGTCTGGCCCTGCGCCGTCATCTTGGTGCAACGGAGTGCCAGTGGCAAAATCTTGCGAAGCGTC